TAGACTTGGACATATGTATGTACATCATAATTCTGTGGTAAACTTAGCAGCAGCAAGTTGGATAATGAGGGAATCCTGGACAATAAGAGGAACTTTATGCTAACTTTATCAAACTCTCGGGAGCTTGCGCCATAAATTTATCGGGGCAATGGGGGGAAAAGTACGTAATTGCATTGGCCGCATGAAAGGAAATCATTAATGACATACCGCTGCGGTGGGAGGGACGGGAGCAAAGGCATCCTTGCAGCGTATATTTTATGAACAATTCACGCTTTTCTTGCCCTCGAACAAAGTTTAGCCTGGATGGTAGTAGAAGTAGAAGTAGAAGTGCAAGTGCAAGTGCGAGGAAGAAATTAAGCTGAACAATATATTTTCTTCGGCGTTGCAATGGCAGCATTTTGCCCAGCTGCCACACCCACTTTTCCCAGCGTCCTCTTGCTCTTATTAGCAGCGTCCTTGTTTGCCTTTTTAGCCATTTTTTTTTTTTTTTGCCTTAGTTCGCTTTTCTTTTTCGCGCTCCTGTTGCGGTTATGCCTGTCGTTGTTGCTGTTGTGTAGGCGCTTACACGGCAAGAAAAATATTCCAGAAATTATTTATATTCAAAAAAATAGTGCTTATCAAAATATCTTGAAAGAATTTTTCTAATTGAAGGAAGTAAGCCTCAAAATCAGCTAGTATAACTAGAGTTTTTAATAAAGTACAACATATATTTACTCTATCTTGTTCTTATTTTTAAGTTATGGCAAATTTGTTTGAAAATTTAAGTTCATATATGTATTAATAATTATTTTTCCTTGTGCGCTTTAGCCATTGAAGCGTTTTGGCCGCGCAGCAACAAAGCGCGAATTACCGCCATTTTGTGCACTTTGAACGCCATGTTGCCGTTTTTATCGCTTCGCTCCTTCTCATCCTGTTTCGTTCGTCCTTCTGCATCCTTCTGCTTCCTTCACTCCCCTCCCCTCCCTGGTGCCCTGGCTCACACAGACCTCTTGTCATTGCAGCTGCCAAGTAATTTCCCAGCGCCAAAGCTGGCACCAAAGAGTGCCTCGCTCGTCTCATTGAGGCGGGTAATTGATTTATGTATTTATACTGATTTTTTAATTAATTTATAAGCTTTGCTGGGGAATGGCAGAGAAAAGCGGGAAAAGCGAGCAAAGCGGGAAGCCCAAAATGATATTTAATGGCAAAGTGCGTAAATCAATTGGCGATGGATGCCTGCTGTAATAATAATAACCTTTTTGCCCAGTGCTTATTACGGCCAACTATTTCTATAGATCGTAAATCAGCGCCAGCGAGGGTCAAGTGTCCAAAGGAGAGTAAAGTGGGAATATTTAATTAATGCTTTCCAAGACTGAATGCAGTCAGCTAAGCTAGTAATTGAATTGCAAGCACTTTTAATTTGTTAAATTGTGATAGTGAGCGGAAATTTTAAGAATAATTATATGAAATTATTGGAAGAAAGGAAAGGATTTTATTTAGGATCTTTGAGGGTTATAGAACCTTAAATGAACCATATTTATTTCATTGAATATTTTCATAGCTTTTAGCTTAAGAAACTACACTCTGAAAGCGTTTTAATTCATTTTAATAATAATAATAAATAATATATTAACAAACTATCCCTACAAACAATTTGGCGATTGTTGAATGGCCGCTCGCCAAGAAGTGTCTTTTGGGAGTCGCGGTAGCGATTACTGGAGGACTTTTGCGACGATGAAATTATTGGAAGAAAGGAAAGGATTTTATTTAGGATCTTTGAGGGTTATAGAACCTTAAATGAACCATATTTATTTCATTGAATATTTTCATAGCTTTTAGCTTAAGAAACTACACTCTGAAACAATTTGGCGATTGTTGAATCGCCGCTCGCCAAGAAGGTAGCATTTGGCGATCGCCAAGTCCAAGAAATAATAATAATAGCATCGCCAAATGATCGCCTGGCGATTCAACGATCGCCAAATTTTGCAGGGACTTCTAGTTCTGCTTCTTCCGGAATCCCCTGCGCGATTAGAAGAGTCGCTTTCGTGCGAAATGAATCGCGGGCGATCAATTTGATCACACTGAAGAGTCGCCTAGAAGAATCGCCTGGCGATCGCCAAATTTTGCAGGGACTGCTAGTTCTGGCGACTCTTCTGAAGAATCGCCTACGATTAGAATCCCCCATCAAATCAGAATCGCGATCTATGATCGCCTAGAAGAGTCGCCTAGAAGAATCGCCTGGCGATTCAACAATCGCCAAATTGTTTGCAGGGACTGCTAGTTCTGGCGACTCTTCTGAAGAATCGCCTACGATTAGAATCCCCCATCAAATCAGAATCGCGATCTATGATCGCCTAGAAGAGTCGCCTAGAAGAATAGCCTGGCGATTCAACAATCGCCAAATTGTTTGCAGGGACTCTTCTAAGCTAGTTCTGGCGACTCTTCTGGAAGACTCTTCTGCGACTCTTCTAGAAGAATCGCCTGCGCCTCCTTTAGAGGAGTCGCTTTCGTGTCCCATTTTCTCCCGACGGAAGATCAGAAAGCGATGTCGCGGGCGATCAATTTGATAGTTTTGCTTTGCTGGGATAGTCTGTGACAGCTGTGAATAAAGTTCACCATAGCATACTTTTGAGGGCATTTTAAAAGGCATTCAATTCGTTGGCACAGAAACTGTGACCCCCTAGGATTTTCCATATATAGATATTTTTTTGCCAAGGACCTGTCTTAACAATATTTCAACCGCAACTGTGCGGGAGTGGGGGGGGGGCGTGGCATATAGGCTGTACATCCCCTCTTTATTAGCAATACAAATGCAAACAAACTGCCGGCCGCAAACTCAAACACACGCAGACACACACAAAACTCAATTCGTGAGCCTGTATGCGAGTGCATTTCCGGTTGGGGAGGGGGGGGGGGGGCGTATGTTAATCCTTGTTGTCCTGCTGAAGTTGTCGTTGCCGTTGTATTGCGTGCATATGAAAATTAAAATTGTTGACAATTGTCATTTTTTTCGCAATTTGCTGTTGTTGTCATTGTGTTGTCAGCGTTGTTACCGCGGTTGTTGTGGCACTGCCGCCGCCTCCATGCAAACCCGCCCCCTTATTTTGCTGCCACTGCTGCTGCCACACGCAACTAACCGCATTTTGATTGCCATGCATTCGACCGAATCGTGCTCGTTGCTAAATTGAAAGCATTTTCCGTGCCGTGAATCTCGGCTACGAGCATAAAAAAAAACACGTATATTTTCGCAGAAACCGGAGAAAGAACGGAAGTTGTCGCTGGCATGTTGCATGCGTGGTCTGCATCGGCCCCCAACTGGATTGGATTCCCAGGGATCCTCGGCTAGGGAGTCGGTCCTCCTCCTTAGTCTCATATTTTTCCCCCGCAGGCTATGAGCGATTTGTTTGCTTACTCAGCTTATACCGCCGCAGAAGAGCTCATCCCGTGGCGCTGCAGAGTGTGAAAGTGCATTAAAATGGGTTATCCTGTAGGTGACAACCATCCAATCAAACGGAATATATGCCATATATGCACGCACACGGAATAAAAAACTAAAGAAATAACTATTTTCAAGTATATATGAAATAAGAGGCTATCCACGACTAGGATCTTAATAGAAAATATCTACAAATGACACATTTTAAGTTAATTTCAAAGCATTAGTTCCTGAAACCAAGCATCAGTTTCAGTTTAAATATATCCATATTTAATTAAGCATTTCCTATAATATAAATATTTATTTAAAACAATATTTCACAGTGCACAAGTCTAGACCTCTTCCTTTAGCTCAAACTCAATTGATTTGCTAATGCTTCGTAGTGCTAAGACCAGAATCAGGCTTAATTAAGTTTTTGTGTTAGTCTGCCGCCGCTGGTAGAGTGAACATCCTTGCGGCTCCTTGTGTCTTGTGCATCGTGCGTGTATCCTGTAACTAGCAGATCCTGCTGCTTCGTGGCAGCTGTCAGACGGAAATCTCTCGAGTTCATCGAGCCACACAATAACATAATTATTCAATTACACGAGTTGGCTCCTTGATTTTGGATTGGGGCTTTTAAAATAAAACAAAATGTAATCGCTTTTTGGCCAAAATCAACAAGCGAGGGACTAATGCAATTACAGGAATTCAGGCGAATGCAGGATATTTCTACAACAAAACAAAAAAAAGAAAACGAAGGCAAACTCTTGGCAAAATTGTGAATGGCAAACCAACATTTGCACAGGCCATAAATTCCCAACATTTGCCAATGCCAATAAGTTGGGACGCGTCGTTGCCGTAGCTTCTAAAGTTTTACATTGGTAACGAAAAATATGCAAAGCAGTCATAATTTTACTTTAGAACCGAAATATTTTCGAACGGAATTGTTAGCAAACAAACTTTTTTATGCATCAACTAATTTCAATCAGCTAACAAAAATGTGGCTCCCGCTGAAGCTGAAGCTGAAGCTGCCCTTTTTCCCGCAACCGCAGAGCAAGAGACTGAGATGGAGGATTGTGGAAAAGCGCCGAAAACAAACGGAAAACTTTTGTCAATAATGCCAACGACGACGACGACGATGACGATGTTGTTGTGGCTGCTGCTGTGTTCCTGGGATCTGCTATAGCTCCTGGCTCTTCTAGTAGCTCTTCCTTATTCTAGTTGCCATCGCCGCCAATGTCTCAAATCCCCAACTGATTGCGCTGAGTGGCACTGACAGCCAGGGGGAATGGTCCTCGAGGGTCAACCCCCCTCCTAGTCCTAGTGCACCTGTCCGGGCAAAGTCCTTATCGCAATCAACTTCAAAGGCGCTAAAAAGCAGCAGAAATACGTCAACAAGTCGAAATTAGTGTTACCAAAAGTTAAATAAGTTTAAAATATTATGTATTTAACAGCTGAATCATTCTAGAGAATATGTATATGAAATATATGCGATAGATTACTATCGATATAAACAAAATCATTAACGATAATAACTTCTGTCATTTGATTCAATTTTTTTTTATCAAAAGTCATAATTGTGACACCTTTGGTCATTCATTTTTTTCTCTTTCACTACTTGTCATTCTAAAGAAAAACTTTTTTATTTCTTAACTTGATTTTACGACAATGGGCAAGATTTCAAACCGTAAATTTCTACGAGGACGCCGCAACAATGTACTTTATGGATATCAGAGCAATCAACGTTCTGATACAATCAATCTGGAATCTCTCTTGCGTCCCGGAGGCATAAGTTCATCTAGTACTAGGGTTAATCACCTCCTTGGACTGCATCCGGAAACTCTAGTCGCCCAGGATTTTCCTTTACCATACCGCGACGTCAGCGTTTACTTTACTCAACTAGTCCAGCTGTGGATCCTTCGCCGTCTAGGATTCAAGGTCGTCAAAGGTAAAACAATTTAAGACAAGAATGAAAGCAAACATCGGGAAGCCGAAGTTTGCATACCCTTGACAGGTAGCCATATGGATTGCATGATCAGGTGATGTTTTTGGGGTCGAAGGGAAATTATTATCTGGTACTATCACCATTGATGTAAACAGCGGAGGCCAGGGGATAAACTGAGGCCAGTGCGACGGCAATGCCTCTATTTATAGGCACCGAGTAAAGAGAGCAGAGAAAGTTAGAGCAAGAGCGCGAGAGAGAACGAGATACTCTACAGATATCCAGAGATAGATGTATATAAAGAGACAGAGAGAGATAGACAAAGATATAAAGAGAGAGAGAGAGAGAGAGAGAGAGAGAGAGAGAGAGAGAATGACAGAGGCAGATAAAATGAGAGAGAGAAAAAGTTAATCACTGTCATTACAATATTATTTCGGCTGTTAATGCTAATTAGGAATAAATGACTCCTTCACTGTGTTTTTGAAACATCTGCCTAAAATAAGAATACCTGCAAGGGTTTAAATAAATACAAAAAGCTTCTTTTATTAAATATCCAATAACTACCCACCTTCTTACATAAATCCAATTAAATACAGAAACATCGAGATACATCATAATCGTAACTCTACTGAGCGACTCTGCCAGGCAATCAAGTCCTTCTACTGAAAAAAGAACAGCAGCTGATAAAAAAAGGTAACTATATACAAGTTGTTATCTTTGAAAAATTGTTTATTCCGATAAAATGATAAATAATTTAATATAATTTAAAATTGTTATATCCTTACAGAAAATGATACCAAGCCTGTGATAAAATTGGAAAAGTCAAAACAAAGCTGATAAAAAAGGTAACTATATACAAGTTGTTATCTTTGAAAAATTGTTTATTCCGATAAAAATGATAAATAATAAATTTAATATAATTAAAATTGTTATATCCTTACAGAAAATGATACCAAGCCTGTGATAAAATTGGAAAAGTCAAAACAAAGTTATACTATGCCGATTAATAGTTGTTCCCATTACATAAAAAAAGGTACATAGGCCTTTAATTTGTCGAATTTTGGATAAGAGTTGGATTTTTTTGATTTATTTAAATTAAATATATATTTTTTTAATATTTATATTTAATATTTAATTTAAATATTTCACAGAAAAATATAATACTCAATCGGCACATTGGCGATGCAATCAAGACCTTCAAATGAAAAATAAACAGCAGCTGATAAAAAAGGTAACTATATAAAAGTTGTTTGCTTTGAAAAATTGTTATTCCGATAAAAATGATGACTACCTTTTAAATAATTTAAAATTGTTATATCCTTACAGAAAATGATAACAAGCCTGTGATAAAATTGGAAAAGTCAAAAAGTTATAATATGATGATTAATAGTTGTTCCCATAACAAAAAAAGGTAGGTCTTTAATTTGTCGAATTTTGGATAAGAGTTGTATTTTTTGCTTTATTTTGATCCCTGAAATTTAAATATTCCACAGAAAAATATACTATGGCATCTGCACATTGTTTAAGCTGTTCGAGTTCCACGACATCCATAGGACAAGTCCAAATATTCAACAACGGAGAACAGCGCTTGACACAAGGTAGGTCTTTGGTTTCCAAATTTTTTATAACAATTACTAATCTAAATTATTTTTCACAGATCACATTGACATAGCTTCCATTATAAATGTACTTTCACAAATTGCTTTTGCATTATTTTTTATTTTGGCTAAGGAACTTCCGTTCTCCACAAGATTTCCATTAAATGTAAAGGAAAACAAAAAAAAAAACATACTCAGGAAGTATGTGTAAATAAACATTTGAAATTTTCACATTCATTGTTATGATGGCTTTATTTCGACTTAACTGGTATTATTTTAATTTATTCAGCAAAATCTACCTTATTCTTGAGTATTAACCTGATTTTCCTTCTCACCTGCCAGAGGGAGCTTCACCTTGGCTAATACATTAATTAACTTTGCCTTCCCCACACCATCCATTGTGTTCGAATGCCACTTATTCGTGGGCTTATCACTGAGCCGAGCGAAGGGTGGTTGGGGCCAAAAAAAAAAAACAAAAAACACAAGGAACTTGGCCCTATTCTGGTTAACAATCAACAAAAATGGGAGCGCAAAACTTTTAATGAGCTAACGCCGCTGATTCAGCGTTCTAATTAACATTTAACGAGCATTTCGTTCGACTTGCATGGGAAAATGGGACTCAATATGGGCTCCTTTGCCGATGGAGGAGCAACAGATACCAGCTACAAGGACTCTTGGGAATTATTCAATTTTCGGCAACCATTTCCTGCAATTTATGGTATACTTTTTTTGTTTATGAAATTATTTATTTGATATGTAATGGTTCAGGTATTGTATTGATACAAATTATACCTTTGGGGTAGGAAGTAGTGCTTTCAATATCCTGATACAAGGGAATTTTTTGTAAATATATCATAATTGAGCTAAAAAATGTTGGTTTTTTATTTTGATATACAGGGAGTTGTTAAAAGCCTGTGGTTTTTAGAGATTTATTTTAACTTGATTTTAAGTGGTTGAATAATAAATTTTAAAGAGTTCTTTTCTTTTTTAATTATAAATTTCAAAACGAATTATTTTCTATTCAATATTTATTTAAAAAGCATCTTTGCCACCTTGAAATTAATCAAAAACCCATAAATTGACTAAATTATATGATTTTTATAATTTCTTAAAAACTTAATTCTGCTTAGTTTCCCAATGGCTTTGCCTTTACAAATTGAGTAAACGTTAGTTAAAAAGTTCTTTAATATATTCCTTATCAGAATAAATAAATAAATACATATGTTTCTGAGTGAAAAAATAATTAAAAATATTTTTACACATTTAGTAAATAAATTTACCGCCACACATCACGTATACGCCTGTTGTGCGAACTAATCGTCACAGAGAATTTCTGTAACGCCACCTAGAACTCTCGAGTAAAATACACATCCCAGAGCTTTGGTTCCACACAAAGTTGCCCCAAAGCTGTGCCACAAACTTCGAAAGCTTGCTGACTATAGCTAACCCCAGAATCGGGGCAACTCTACGATAAACAAAACATATGGCCTGCAGGCTGCACAAAGCTGCCTGGTGAGCGGTGTGTTTTCTCAGTTCGCTCGCGCTCTGGCTTTGGGAACGTTGTTTTCTGGAACTCAAAGGACCTCACTCCGTTCAGACAGTACAGCCAACCAAATTTATACTTATATATATATATAAACATATATATATATATGCATTAACGGTGAAGTGGGCAAAAGTGTGACAAACAGAACGGAAAGTTAGCATACTTTTATGAGCTGCGATTTGGCCGAGTCGCGAGTTCAAGCCCAGGACAGCAAGCGGAACTGTGAACTGTGAACTGTGAAAATGTGACCCAATTGGAAAGAACGAAAAACGATATTGTGCCAGTTATGTCCATATATATGTATATATATATACATAGCACACATCATACATATATGTGCCGAGCCTAAGTACATCCGTCAATAAAAGGAGGTAATCCCTAAACCGATATTGTGGGCGCGGTGAAGTTGTTTAGCAAACACACATAAATTAATAATCAACATTTCTGCCCTCGGGCAAAAAGTATCGGTTATGCGAGTGTGTCTCTCTCTCTCCGAGTGTGTGTGTGTGTGTGTCTCAAGTGTTTGGGTGTGCGTGTGTTTGTTTTACTTGCTGTGGCAAAGCTGCACAAAAAAAGCAAAAAGTTCAATCGCTGAAACTTCAGGCAAACAGCCCGAAAGGCTTCTGTTTCTGCTGCCGCTGCTGCTGCTCTTTTTCCGAGGCACAGCTGATTGGCGAAAACCCTTGAGCCGAACATGTTGGCTTGTTTGGTTTGAAGCTCAGTAAATCCTGTTCCCGCTCCTTTCTCCCGTGTGTGTGTGTGAGAGTGGGAGAGAGGGGACCGGGGAGAACTCAACTTTACGGTCCTACGACTCCGGAGCACGCAGCGCAGCGTGCACACGTAATAAAGCCATAATCAAAGGTAACCCGGGACAACGGAGCGTATGCGTGTTCCCC